AAACTCTGTGGGCTTACACTTTCATTCAATGTTCAGATGAGTTTCATGTTTGTGACTCTGACACATTCTGGGGGTGTGATACCAAAGGCAGGTGCTATAGGACAAGAAGCACAGGGCCTGGGGTCCATGAGCTGGGGTGTGAGTCCCCAACCTGCACTTATTGGCTGAAGGGTGTGGGGGCTGACATCTGGGGTTCCAAGAGGAACCCCTGGGCAAGTCACTTAACCTCTCTCACCCTAGTTTGCTCATAAGGAAATGGAGACAAGTCTTTTTTTTTTAAAGATTTTATTTATTTATTTGAGAGAGAGAATGAGAGAGAGAGAGAGCACGTGAGAGGAGGGAGGGTCAGAGGGAGAAACAGACTCCCCGCTGAGCAGGGAGCCCGATGCGGGACTTGATCCCGGAACTCCAGGATCATGACCTGAGCCGAAGGCAGTCGCCTAACCAACTGAGCCACCCAGGCGCCCGAGACAAGTCTTTTTTTTAAAAAAAGATTTTATTCATTTGAGAGAGAGTGAGAGAGCGAGAGTGCCCAAGCAAGCATGAGTGGGGGGAGGGGCAGAGGGAGAAGCAGACTCCCCGCTGAGCAGGGAGCCGGACATCACAGGATCCTGAGACCATGACCTGAGCTGAAGGCAGTCGCTTAACTGAGTTACCCAGGTGCCCCTCTAACACTTTACGCTGTATTTTTAAATTTTTTAAAAGATTTTATTTATTTATTTGACACAGAGAGAGAGACAGAGAAAGATAGAGACAGAGAGAGCACAAGCAGGGGAGTGGCAGATAGAGGGAGAAGCAGGCTCCCAGCTGAGCAGGGAGCCCAATGCAGGACTCAATTCCAGGACCCCGGGATCATGACCTGAGCTGAAGGCAGACACTTAACCGACTGAGCCACCCAGGCGCCTCCAGGTGCCCCTCTATTTTATTTTTTTTAAGATTTTATTTTTAAGTAATTTTTACACCCAATGTGGGGCTCAAACTTACAACCCCAAGATCAAGAGTCACATGCCCTACTGACTGAGGCAGCCGGGCAACCACCCCTATATTTCTACTTTAAAGGTGGAGAAAACTCAAGTTATCTAACAGATGTAAGGCAATGGGTTTGACGGGGATATGTCCTGGTATTGAGTGAAATCAAGCTGCTGAGTTCTATCTACAAAGCTACTGTGGCAGGGATGTGAGGATAAAAGGAGAAAGCCAATGGGGAACAGAAACCTCCCTCAGGGAAAAAAATACACAATTTTTAAAAAGATTTTATTTGTTTATTTGAAAGAGAGAGAGAGGGAGAGAGCATGAGCAGAGTGAGGGGCAGAGGGAGAAGCAGGCTCCCCGCTGAGCAAGGAGCCCCGATGCCGGTTCGATCCTGGGACTCGATCCTGGGACTCAATCCTGGGACTCTGGGATCATGACCCAAGCCACAGGCAGATGCTCAACTGATGGAGCCACCCGGGCACCCTGGGAAATACACAATTTGAAGGTCCCTTTTAGAGGATCTGCTCACACATTTATAGTACAAGGTCTAGCCTATCCTTCATCATCCTGGCCCTGCTCTAAGGGGAGCTGGAGGAGGACACACATACTGTGCCTCTAAGGCAAACAGCCTGGCCCAATGCCCAATGTACATTACTAAATACTGGTGAAGAATATGGACAGGAATCAATGATATTTTGTACTGCTACCAAATTCAGCCTCAGCAATTACCTTCTTCTTCTTCTTCTCCTCCTTCCTCTTCTTCTTCTTCTTCTTTTTTTTTTTTAAAGATTTTATTTATTCATTTGCGAGAGAGACAGAGAGAGAACAAGCAGGGGGAGAGGCAGAGGGAGAGGGAGAAGCAGACTCCCTGCTGAGCTGGGAGCCCGATGTGGGACTCGATCCCAGGACCCTGGGATCATGACCTGAGCCGAAGGCAGACGCTTAACCATCTGAGCCACCCAGGCGCCCCCTCTTCTTCTTCTTTTTAAAGATTTTATTTATTTTTATTTTTTGTTGATGGGTATATAGGAATTTTTACTATACTATTTTCATGTGGTTCAAAAATTACATGAGAAGTTTTTTGAAATTGTATAGATAATAAAGGGGAACATACAGATAAATTTTAGCACATCCAGGGGCTTGAGGCTGTTTTGTATCACTCACTCTATTGTCTGGTATAGAGAAGGTGGTCAGTTTAATAACATAAAACTTAAACAAAACAGAAAAAAACAGTCACCTTGAAGCCCCTCTTACTGGTCAAGGTATTAATTCCCACCACAGCTTCTTGCCTGATCACCTGGCTCTTTTACACACATGCAGTCTTACACTTTTCCAATGAGTATTTATTATTAGTTAAGCCATGATTCAGAATCCCAGGGTGGGGATCACCATGCACCCAGGTCCCCCTTCACCTCCCTGGGAGAAGGAGGGAGGACAGAGGAGAGGTGGGTGAAGCCAGTTCAGATCTTCCCAGGAAATGTGTCTTCTGCCCGCCGGTCGTCCCAGGCTGATACCAGGATATGGGGCAGAGGGACTTGTACACACGACGGTACCATTCGCACACGGAGACATCACCCCCTTTAGCAGTCATTGCCTTCTCACAGCGGTGGAAGTCCAGGTAGTTCTGCCAGCAGTTCCTGGTCTGGTTCTGGTTGGGGAAGCAGCTGTCAAAAGGGGCAGTCTGGTAGTTCTTGATTTTGGTCTTGATGTCTTCTGCCATGGTGCTGATTCTAAACACACCACAGCAGCACCTCACAGCTCAATGTGACCCCCTAAAGATTTTTATTTTTTAAGTAATCTCTACACCCAATGTGGGGCCCAAACTCACAACCTGGAGATCAAGAGTCACAGAGTCACAACTGAGCCAACCAAGTGCCCCCATTTTGCTTCCTTCTTAAAACAGATGTACATTTATTCTCCAGAATCTGTTTCACATCCCTTTCAAACATGACTGCAGTTTCCTAAATCATTCCTGTGCTGGGTAACGACACTCTTTCTCAAGCCTGCTGCATGGTTCTTGTAGATTCATTTTAGCTCTGGATAAAATAATTAAATTGGCAAATAATTTCTTTTTTTTTTAAAGATTTTATTTATTTATTAGAGAGCGAGTGAGAGAGAAACAGCATGAGAGGGGAGAGAGTCAGAGGGAGAAGCAGGCTCCCCACTGAGCTGGGAGCCCGACGTGGGACTCGATCCCAGGACTCCGGGATCATGACCTGAGCCGAGGGCAGTCGCTTAACCAACTGAGCCACCCAGGCGCCTTTTTTTTTAAGAGAGGGAGGAGAGGAGGGACAGCGAGAGAATCTTAAGCAGTCTCCATGCCCAGCACAGAGCTGATGCGGGGCTGGATCCCACAACCCCAAGATCATGACCTGAGCCTAAATCAAGAGTCAGACGCTCAACTGAATGAGCCACCTAGGCGCCCCTCCTGACTTTTGTAGGCTTTCTTTGTTGGGGCAGCAAAGGATTAGAGTTTAGGTGAGATCAGGTTTTTGCACTGGTAATGAGTAAAAGGGAGAAACCACATTCATTAAACACTTACTGAATGCTTAGTATATGCAAAAGCTGTGATGACAGCTTCACTTATTCTGCCTAAATTTTCCCAACAATGTTTGTGAAGTGGGTTGTATCATCCCCATGTTTGAGATACAGAAGCAGAGGCCCAGCACTTAAGACACTTCTCTGGGTTCCCAAAGCTAGAAAGATATTTAGCCAAATTTTAAATTTTTTAAAAATTTTTTTAAAAAAGATTTTATTTATTAGAGACAGCGAGATAGAAGGAGAGCACGAGCAGGGGGAGGGGCAGAGGGAGAGAGAGAAGCCCACTCCCCACTGAGCGGGGAGCCCCACCTGGAGCAGATCCCAGGACCGGGAGATCATGACCTGAGCCGAAGGCAGACCCTCAACCACCTGAGCCACTCAGGAGCCCCAAATTCTTGTTTTAATATGTACACGTTGTGGCTTTCCTGGCTAATAGAGCTTGTTGTCATATTTTGCAGTGCCCAGAGGCTGCAACCCCCGAATAGACAGCAATTCGACAAGCACTTTTACCATAAACCAAAGGTTGAAGAGGCAGTTTATTAACCCTGTGGCTAAGAGCTCAGGTTCAGAAGTCTCACGTAGCTGGGTTCAAATTCCAGTTCCACCATTTATAAACGTGTAAAACACATGCTCTCTCCAGGCTTCTACTCATTTGTAAAACGGAGATATTACTACCTCATAGAGTTGTGAGGTTAAATGTGCCATATATAAAGCATTTGGCACATAATATATGCTTAATACATGCTGGCTCTTAAGTAATGATAAAGTGCGCCGGCCCTTTTGCTAGCGCGAAATGTCCTCAGGGGCTAAGGCAGTCCTCATTCCGTTTCTGCACCACCGATCCTGTGGGGCCTGAAGCCCCGGACAAATTGACAGAGGCATTTCTCTTTCTGGAAGTTGTCAAACCGTCCTCTCCACCCTCAGTCTGGCCAGCGCCTACCTCGACGTGGTCGCGAAGCTGGAGCACCGCGACTTCGGGGAGGCCATGACCCTCCCGCAGCCAGGCAGCCTGCACCTGCGGCCGGGAAAGCTGTGGTAGTGTACAGCCCGTCGCTATGGCGACCAGGCCCCAGCATCCCAGCGGCGGGGGCGGGGTCAAGGTTGTGCCACGCCCCCGCTCCCCGAGCCCGCCGGCTGGGAGGAAAGCTAATTAGCAAAGGTGGCCTCGGACCCGGGAGCAGGGTCCCCTCAGTCAATCACTACAGTGGATTTGACCCTAGCTATTAGAACTGAGGCGGGGGGATAAACAGAGGCCATGGGGGAGTGCGGTGAACTGAAGGCCTGGAGCCGTGTTGCCAGCGGGAATTGTAGTTTTTGGTTTCCCGAAGTCTCCGCCAAACAGGCGTACGACTGAACAGATTTGTACTACATCTTCCAAAGTTCCGTACGAGCTCGGGTTGTCCCGCCTCTGGGAAGCTCTGCATTGTGGGATATGGAGTCCGAAATGTGGCGAGGCGTGGCAGTGTCCAAAGAGAGGTGTCGGACTCGGACTCGGTTTCCCTGCGGCCTCGGTAGGCTCGTCGGCCATTGGCTGAGCGGGGAGGATCTGGTCCCGCTCCTCCCCGCCCCCAGTGACACAATAGCAGCTCCCTCCAAGATGGCGGCGGCGACGGCGGACCCGGGAGCTGGGAGCCCGCAGGCTGGAGATTCCTCTGGCGGGGGCGCTGGGGGCGGGCTCCCGTCCCCGGGGGAGCAGGAGCTGAGCCGGCGCCTTCAGCGCCTGTACCCCGCGGTCAACCAGCATGAGACGCCACTGCCGCGCTCTTGGAGCCCCAAGGACAAGTACAACTACATCGGCCTCTCCCAGGGCAACCTCCGCGTCCACTACAAAGGTATCGCCCTGTTTGGCCCAGGGGGGTGGAGGGGAAGACCAGAGCATCTGCCGGGCGGCTGTGATGCCCGGCCCCTGCCCCATCACGTCCCTTCCCCGTCCTGGGTGCTCCGAGTTAGGCCTTGGCCCCTGCGGGGTGTCCAAGGTTTTGAGGCTGACCAGGCCGAGGGTCGACTGCCTAGACTGCTGTTCCCTGAGACACCCGATGTCAAGAGAACTGCAACAGGTGTCCAAACCCAGTACTGGGCTGGACCTTCCTCCCGAGGACCTTCTTGCTTATCCTGGGATAGCTCCAATTCCAGTTGGGCCTTTCATCGCTGCTTAGTTTTGGGAGTGTCAGAAGAAGGGGGTGGTCACATCCCCTCCATTAGCCAGAGGCCTATGGGCTTGCTCACCTGCCAGATATCACAGACAGAGCTTGGAGTTCTTTACTAAAGTTGAGGGGGGTGGACTGCCAGAGCTGCCTCCTCCTCCCCTGATCTCCCAGGTGGGCTCGCTGTATTCTGGAGAGACTGCCAGCAGCACTTGGGAATCTCTCAGATGCATCCACATTGCCTGTACCCTCCTTTAGTTTGTATGGGAGAAAGTGTCTCTGGCAGGGCTGCTATTCACAGGAGGAGGTGAGCCAAAGGTGGGGAGGTTTATGTGTTTGCTCAGTTGTTGTTCAGTTATTCTTCAAACAGTGTAAGGGCTTCCTCTGGCCATGAAGGGGTGAAGTTGCCATGGAGCAGAAAAGAACGAGGCTGTTATCTGAATTTCTTTCTGCTGAAATTTCTTCCTTGCTTTCTCTTACTAGGTCATGGCAAAAATCACAAAGATGCTGCCTCAGTGCGTGCCACCCACCCCATACCTGCTGCCTGTGGCATTTATTACTTTGAGGTGAAGATTGTCAGCAAAGGAAGAGATGGGTAAGCCCCTTCTTACCACCTTCTTTTCCCCAGCACTGAGCTGTTCCTTGTGGTCAGAGTCCGAGGTCTCCTGGCTGACACTTGTGACTGATGTGAGCTGCTGAGCTGCACGGGTCTGGGCTGCAGAGGGTTGAATAGTGGGGCTGCCTCTGTTACCTGACTGTGGGCATGGCCTGGTCTAAGCAGCAGCCCTTGATGGCAAGTAGGTGCATTGTGGGTAGAGAACAAGACTTCTCTTTAGTGATTATGTAATGAGATACCTCACAGGTCAGGGAAACAAGTAACAAGTTTACATTAACAATTCAGTGTCCAGAATGGGATTTCCCGTACTGTCCTATGGCATTTGTGACTTCCCTCCTTTCACACTTTTGCCACATTCAGGGTTCTTTTTTATGGCATTTAGTCACATAGAGGCCCCTGTAGGCTTCAAAGGGATAGTAGAGTCTTCACAGCATTCATCAGAGCTGTGGCAGCCACTGGCCTGTCATCTCAGGGTAAACAGCATGCACATGGTCAGAATCAGGTGACCTTGCTGCTCATAAACTTGTTTTTCAGTCCAGGGACTTGAACACCAGTTGGACCAGCTTTAAGAAGGTCCTCATTAAAGTCAGCATTAGGGAGGCTCCTTATTTTAGGGTGATCTAAGCAGATACCCGGAAGTCAGAGGGGGAGATTTCTCATTTTTCTTTTTTTTCCTTTTTCTCCTAGTCTCCCTTTTCCCCATTGATTGTGACAAAGCCAGGTGTTTAACTTATGAAATAACATGATTTCAGCTGTCTTGGAAAGGCTTTCCTCATCAGACCTTAGGTCTGATGTGGGAAGTTTGCCAGTTACACCAGTGACCTTCGTGCCAACCCTGAATATGTATTCTTGAGTATTCAAAGTACTTCCTCTGTCTTAGGGACTGTCCCTCTTGTGGTGCATGCAAAATGCCCAGCCAAGGGGCTGTGCTGGGGGAGGACTGCTATAGTCGGAGTTTTGCCTGCTTCCTCGGTGAAGTTGTATCATCCTTGCCTGGGACGGTTGTGTGGCCGTGGGTAGATGGTGCAGCTTCAATCTCTTTGTCTGTATTATGTGGAGCTAGGCCAGCACCTAAGCTGCCTTTAACCCCAGAATTGTATGATTCTGAAGTTCTGATCATGGCATGCTATTACAATATCTTTTCACTTTTATCCCTATCTTCTTAATTTACAGATAGGAAACATATTATTGGAGGGCTTTAAAGTTTCTATTTTCCGGGGCGCCTGGGTGGCTCAGGCGTTAAGCGTCTGCCTTCAGCTCAGGTCATGATCCCAGGGTCCTGGGATCGAGCCCCACATCTGGCTCCTTGCTCGGCAGGGAGCCTGCTTCTCCCTCTGGCCCTCCCCCCTGCTTGTGTTCCCTCTCTCGCTGTGTCTCTCTCTGTCAAATAAATAAATAAAACCTTTAAAAAAATAAAATAAAAAATAAAGTTTCTATTTTCCCTTCCCACCATCTGATCAAAGCACATACATACATATAATGTGCTTGAACTAGTGTGAATGAGAATGGCCTCTTAAAACAAACAGTGCAAAAATAGTTTTGGTAGAGACTGAAATGGCAGTGGCTGGAGTCTCATATTGCCAGAGAGACTGAGGGGCATTTCTTAGACTTTAGGGAGGAAAATCAATTGTTTTGTCTGTAGTCCTAATCATAGATAACCGCTGAGCTAGTGAGAAAAGAGAACACTTTTTCAGAAGGGGAGTGTTTAAATGTAGAGACCTGGATTTCTTCAGCTGGCTTTTCACATTTCAGTTGTAAGTGGCTCTTGCTGGAAGAGGCCCTGTGTCTTGTTAGTTGTCCTTACTGCAGTTTTTGTCTGCAAATTTAAAGAAAGTTGGGCATCTTCTCCCAGCTTCTATACCCAGCATTTTTATATGTACTAAATATAGCCATTAGGCTGACCTGGAAACCTCAGTTTTATTTATTTATTTTTTTAAAAGATTATTTATTTATTTATTTGACAGAGACAGAGAGGGAACACAAGCAGGAGGAGTGGGAGAGGGAGAAGCAGGCTTCCCACAGAGCAGGGAGCCTGACGCAGGGCTCGATCCCAGGACCCTGGGATCATGACCTGAGCCAAAGGCAGATG